TCCCTGGCATTTTCTGTGACCCCCTACTCTCCCTGTTTCAAACAGATGAGCTCTCTGCTTTCTTTGCCAGGAATGGATCAAATTCTTGGCTTTTGACTTCTAAAAGCCTGGACCTGTGGGTAAGCCAACAGGCTGGGGGCAGTGCCCAGGGACTTGCCCGGAGCCAGATCAGAAAGCTCGTCTTAGGGTGGGGTTCTGGAGAACAGAGACACAGGGAGAATTTCCATGCTTCTAGGCTCTGAAAGAGGCCCTGACCCTGCCACCAGGACCAGTCCCCGGGGACTGGGAGGGGACTGAAATCCCAGCCAGGTTAGGGAGAACCTGAGGGCAGAGTACTCCTTGCCCCCCTTTCCTCCGCAGCCTGGTGTCCTGTCTGCGCAGTTGGCTAGAAGGTTACCTGTGGCCCCAGTGTGGAGGGAGAAGTGAAACATTTCCTGTATCTGCTCAGCTGCTCCAGAGGCCCAGCCATGGTAGCACCTGTTGCCTAAGCCAGGCGGCAAGGACGTTTCTCCCAGGCCCTGGAACAGGCCCGTGGGGCAGCCGAGTGGGTGATGCATGACCCCAGCCTGAAGAGAGTAGGGAAAGAGCGCTCTGACCCACAGAAGTGGCCAGAAGAGAGAGGCCCTACGTCTGTAGAGACGGAGCAGGGGCGGAGCAGGGGCTGGGGTGACCCCTGCTGCTGGGATCAGGCGGGGGTGGGGGGGTGGGGGGGGCGGGGGGAGAAAGGCGAGTCGATTATTTCTTGCGCAGCTGGGACCGAGGATTGAGATCTGGCCCTGCTATCTGTGATTGCACATTTTCAGCCATTTTTTAAGGAAGCATTGTTGTGTTTTGGGGACAGAGGCCATTGAATTGGACATTGTCAGATGTTTACTTAGAAGGAACAAAAACTATTATGTTCTGTGTCCTACTCTGTAAAATGTAAAATGTGAGAAGCACCATTTCAGGGCTGCCCATCTGTGCTCTGTGAATGTGCATCACTGTCTGCCTGCCGGACCCCGGAGCCCGAGGCTGCCGCTGGGGCTCAGCCATGCCCTCGGTGCTCCTGCCAGCCCCCGGGACCCAGGAGCCCGGCTGCGGTGGTGGACGCTGGCTTGGAAAGAAATACGGGTCAGCAGGAAACAAGGGAATTCAGCACGGACAATGACTTACAAGAATGTAAGCAAGCATGGCCGACCTGATGAAGCACTGTCAGCAAAGGAAAGAGAGGACGTGACCAGCGAGAGACACACGTGAAAAGGCGGCTTGCCCAGTTGGGGGACACCAGCTCCAGGTCTCTGCTGTTCGGCTCGGAGGGCCGCCCCTGATCTCGAGTGGACTGCGCCCCAGCCAGGCGCAGGGGTGACCCCCAGCACACACTTGCTGAGTGCCCGATCTGCGCGTGGCTCCGTGGAGGCTCGGAGGTCAGAGCTACGCAGACCCACTCCCTCCCCAGGGGCTCCAGCTGGGGGCTGTGGTTCTCAGCTGAACATCATGTCCCCTCAAAGGCAACCCCAGTTCTGTGTAGGGGGTTGTCATTTCTCACCTAAAGTCTGAGCAAGAAATGATGCTCTCCCCACACACCCCCAGAGCACCATCACCTCCTCCCACAACGCTGGGCATCGCCAGGCCGGGAGGAGCACAGTAGGTGTGACTCCACTGACTGTCAGCGTCAAGAACTGGGTCCCAGAGTGTCGCCCTCCATTATCACGGAAGGGGTTTTGAGAGGTGCTAGAGAAGGCCGGGGAGCACAGAGGAAGCTCGCTCAGCCCCGCCTGAGTGGGAGGGGTCCTAGAAAGGAGGAGGAGGCCTGTGGCTGGGTCCGCAGGGCCAGGAGGGGCTGCCCGGCAGCTGGTGAAGTGAGGGGGACAGTGGGGTTGGCGGTGTGCACGCGCCTCCGGGAAGCCCGGCACACGCAGGGCCTGTGCAAGCAGGGCGGGCTGCGCAGGACAGCAACTCCCCACCCAGGCGGGTGTTTGCGGCCACAGGGATGCTGGGTGGGGGGGTGAAGCACTCAGAGGGGCCCACGCGAGGTTTCAGGTGCCCATGAGGAACTTGAGTAGAAGACGAGGAGAAAAGATAAAAAGGAAAGAGGAACCTGGCAGAAGAGGAGCCGCGGCTCCGGGCAGCATTCTGCCTGCGCCCCCAGCATTTGGAGGAGTCCATCTTCTTCATTCTGGCCACTTCTGTGAGTGTGCGTCGAGCTCACTGCGGTTTTGGTTTGCATTTCCCTCAAGACCAATGCAGTGTAGCGTCTCCCCAGGCGCTCACCGCCATCTTCTTTGGTGAAGGGTCTCTTTAGATCGTTTGACTGTTTTTTTTTTTAAGTGGGTTTTACCTTCTTGTTATTGAGTTACAACAACTGTTTTTATATTCTGGATACAAGTCCTTTGTTGGATATATATGTGTCCTGAGTAGTTTTTATCCCAATGGATTACCTCTTTATTTTCACAGGGGTGTTTTTGGAGGAGAAGACTTCTTAAATTTCGAAGAAGTTCCATTTACCAATGTTTAATGATAGCTTAATATTCAAAATATAGAGATACCAAAATTTAGAAGTTGGCTTAAACCAACCCATGCGTGGATATTTTAGGCTGTTTCCAACTTTCCACTGTTTTCCTTGTTGTGAGGAACATCGTTGGACTTAACACTGCATTTTCAGGATAGTTTCAGATACATCTCGGGATGAGAGTGTCTATAAAACTTTTGTTACACACCCTGAAATTGCTTTCGTAAAGGGCATCTCATCATGTGTGAATGAAGCCCGGTTTCAAGGAACCGGTCAGTCCTCTTACGATTTCCATAGCTTGTCTGTTTATAGGTAAGTGGAACTTTAGAAAAGCTTAAAAACGAGCATGTGCGATCTTGTCACTACACTTTGCTTAGTAAAGCACTTTTTTTTCATAGATAATATAAGGACAATTATAGTACATTTCCAGGGAGCACTTCCAAAGGCTGGAATCTTATTTCTTAAGGAACTCAGCAGTGATGTGCTGGAGTGCTGGGCAAAGGGCTGTTTGCTTCTCTCCACTTCTATTGACCCACCTGTAAAGCTGGCAAAGGTCAGCCTACTTTGTCTCGCCACAAAGAGGGCCAGGAGCCAGATTAAATAAGACGCCCTCAAGACAGGGTATTGTGATACCCCGGCCACTAAGCCCTGGGCCAGGGAGTGCCTGTGTTACCTCTAATCTTCAACAACAGCCTTGCTGGTGAGTGTTATTGTTCCATTTAAAAGGAGTGGGCAGTGACTGGGAGGACAGATGACTAATACTGCCAGAGCTGGGGTTTCCTGGCTCTGAAGCCAGAAAACCATCTACTACAGTTTAAACACACCATAGACCACATACAGGTCAGTACAGGTTTAAAGATAGGAAATTAGTGAGAATGTCTGATAATCTTGATCTGAATGATGGTTACATGAGTGTATATGCATGTCAAAATGCATCGAGCTGTATGCTAAGATTTGTGCATTTTCTTATATGTACAATAATAAGCAAAACAAAGTATAATTCAAAAGCCCTTAAAAAAATAAAGATGGCTAGGAGAGGTACAAGCAGGTTGATTATCTTAAAAATCATTCTTACGCTTGGAGGCTTCATTTACTTGAAGCCAAAGGACTCACTGGTTTTTGCTGGAAGCCTTGGAAATCTCCTGGAGCTGGTTGGTGGCCCCGTGACTGGCCTCCTCCCCAGGCCCCACCAACAGGGTCTGGTTAAATTGGATCAAGGCTGGAGCTAAAGGATCTGTAGATCTGGAGCCAGGAGGTGACAGGAAGTGTCCTGCCAGAAGGTCCTCTGGCGGGCTGCCCTCCCAGCTCTGCAAGGTCCCCTGAAGGGTGGCTGGACAGTCCCGGGAAAACCGGCATCTATCTGTGTTCAGTGCCAGCTCGAGCACAGGTTATGGAATACATGTCTTCAGCCCCCTTTTCCGACTTTATTCTTAGCTCCTGTCCCGTAACTAGGTACAGGTACGGCCTGATTTTCCCAGGACACTCCCAGTTTGTGCCTCCTATCTGGGTGTAACTGTTTCCCCGCTTTCACTCAGAACTGCAGAGTCGGGACATTCTATATTAATTCAGATGGACCAGAGAGAAGCATTCAAGAGAAACCCCAATGTGAGGATACCTATAGCTTTAGGGATTCATTAGGGTTGTCTGTCAGGGACATTATTATGATACTGTATGTCAGTCACGACAGTTTTGATTGCAGGTGACCTCAAATTAGCTTTAGCAAGAAAAAAAGATATCGGTCTGGTAGCTGGATAGTTGGGGGTGGGGAGGGCAGGATCCCAGGTTCTCACGCTGCTGTTTCCGTTTCTCTCTCTGGCCCCAGCTCTCCAAGTCTCCCTGCGTGCTGAGACTTCGTCTCGGCAGGATCTTTCCCGTGGTGGGTAAGCCGGCCTCTGGTGATCTAGACTCATCTTTCCATATCAACAGGGCTGGCCAAAGGGGAATTTTGTTTGCTCCAGAGATACATCTGCATGCCCAACGGAGACTCACTGGCCCCGCTTGGGTCACGTGCCCACCCTGGGCCGATTGCTATGTTTCAGCGGAATGGCTTTGCTGGGGCGCCCACACATCACCGTGCAGGGGACACGCCCGCATCAGGCCACACCGAAGGACAGAGTTCCGGATGAAATCAGGACAATTAGCTGAGCTGGCCAGACTTAGAGCATCTGCCATCCATTACGTACGGCCACCATTCAGAGTCACTTCCAGTATTCCAGGGGCTTTATATATATTGTTCATTATTTCCACTATAATCCAAAGAGTGTAATTTACCCCCTGATGCAGATGAGGCTTGGGCAGTTTAATAACACTGCCCAGGCAGAACAGCGGCCAGTGGAGCTGCTGACTTACTCTGGGTCTGCCAGCATGGCGGCATTCTCCCCGTGAGAGGGAGCAAGGGTGGTTTGAGTCAGGGTTCTCCTTGGACTCACATCACACATAGTCTGCCCTGAATAATGCTTCTGGACAGACGAATCCCTGTAGGTTCTCCTGGATCTTCTCTGTCTCTCTGAGTCTCTGAGATGAAGCCCACTGTCCCGGGAGGAAGGTACCAGGCTGGTCTGGCTCAGTCCCTGGAGATGGCCGGGTGCTAACTGATCTCAGCACATGTGCCTTGGGGTAGAACTATCTTCTAAGTCTCCATCTGCAGAATGAAGGCAAAAAGTCCTACTGCCAGGGTACCTAGGGTTATTCCGAGAGTCAAAAGAGTATGAACAAAATCTTGCTTTGTAAGACCGAATAACGGTGGTGACGATAGCTGTGGTATAGCTCAGAGTCTCTGCCTCAGTTCTTGGAGCCCAGGAGGACAGCATGGGGACGGTGCTCTTTACCCTCGGAGGCCCAGGAGAGCTGCCCTTTGTCAGTCTGAGTTCTTCATAGTGTGAAAAATTTCACCAGAGGGCAGTTTCTTCATTTGAATTTGTATTGCTAATAGCATTTCTTTCTGATTACAAAAATAGTACATGAACAAAATCTGGAAAATAAAGAAAGAAGAGAAAAAAAGAAACGCATCCCAAATTGCTCCAGCCGGTGATACCAACCACATTCGGATAGCAGCTGGGGCTGTATGTTACACAATTTAATGTTCTGCGATATTCCAATAGCAACACGTTACAGGCATTTCCCCATCACAAGAAATGTCACGAGCATTATTGCTTTGGTAAACATTTTGTGCATGTCTGTAGTATCGTTTAATCATAGGTGGTAACAGGCCTTTGAGCAGAGGTCCAGGGCTGAGCTGGGCAGCTGGGCCTGGGGGTCTCTGCTGTGGAGGACACAGGGGCTGAAAGGCCTGGGCACTGAAAGGCCAGAGGGAAAGAAAGGTGCGCAGTATACTGGAAAATAAAGAAAGAAGAGAAAAAAAGAAACTCATCCCAAATTGCTCCAGCAATTTGCTGTCTGCTTGTCTGTTCCTTTATTCCTGCCTTGATGTTTGAGGGCTCCGGTGGGCACCAGGCTCCCCCTGCCTCCTGCCAATGCTGCCTTCAGGCCTTCAACAGCACTCCTCCAAACGCCTCCCCACCCCTCCCATCTCCATCCTGTCCCCAGCAGGTGCACTTCTGGGGGAGGGCTCTGCTCCCATTGCTCTTTCTGCAAAGCTGAGCCCAGGACTGGTAGTAATAGGTGCTCAGAAATGTTTGGAGACAGGGGAGTGAGTGAACATAAATAGAAGCAATGATACTAATACGTAGCTAACATTCTCCTGCTTTCAGTTTTGTACCGTTATAACTAATGTTATTAAATCGGTGTGATTAAAGCTTTGCTAAGATTATGATTTCTTTCCTAGACTTGGGATCCTAGGGTTGAAGAATATGGGTACTTTGGTGATTCATAATACAGATCGCAAGATTGCTTTCTAGACACTATCTGTTACGCTCTCAGAAGCAGTTGTGGGAGTGTCTGTCTCTCTGGTTTTATGTAACATAATTTAAAAAAATGATTTGCTGATTTGATGGAAGAGGGGGCAGGCACAGCATCTCACTGAGTTAATGAACATTTTTGTTTTCCTGGTAAGACCGACCCTTTAAAACCTATTTATTGATCATCTGAATCTCCAATTTTGTTAATTGTCCATTAGTAGCATTTGCCATTTATATGCTTGGATCTTAAGTTTTTCTTATGAAGTGTAAGAGTTCTACATTAGCTTCAAAAATATTTCCCTAATTTCTTATACTTTATTTTTTAATGTCAAATTTCTTTTCAAAATGGAAATAGCTTAATTTATTTTTACTTTTTTATGACGGCAAAAACAATGTGCTGTCATGGAAAAAAGAATCGGACACTATAGAAAAATCATAAAGAAAGTAGAAATCTACATCCTACCCCTTGGACGTGTACTAACTTTTATCCTATGTGTTGATGGTATTTTTTGAAGTTTAAAACATTTTAATTTTCATGTATCTTCAGAGTAGCATTTTTTATTTCAGTATATCCTCTAGTGCTCTTGTGCTTAGGAAAGTCTTTCCGATCTAGAGATCAGATAAAGAATTGGGCTCTTCAAAGACAGAGCTGTCTATGCTTTGGTTCTGAAGGCACTGTAGCCTATTACAGAATATTTAGGAAATAGAAAAAAAATCAGCCATAATGCCTTGAGCTTAACACATTTCCTTTGTACTTGGTTCTTATGAGTCTTTGATCATGAGCATTTGTTTATTTTTATGTGTTTGAAAGAATAGTGCACGCACAATTTCCTATCTTCTTTTCACTCCGAATTATCCCATAAGCATTAGTTTCAGGTTGCTACATAATCTTTGTAATGGTTGTTTAAAATGATCTACTAATGGCTCCTCCGGTTGCTGTGAGATCTAGCTGACCCTATTCTGCTAAGCATTTACGTTGCTTCTGATTTTTTTGTCCAGTGGTATTTTGAAACACCAAAGCCCAGTGAAGCAGAATTTCCCACAGTTCCTTGGGGGCTGGCTGACTAATAAATTTGACTTCTGCCTATTTCTTCCTTTCCTCAGAGGAGTGCTGGAAGCCATGGCTGTTAGAGAATATGACTAGGAACAACAAACAAAATTAGAAGGCAGGTTGTGGAGTGAGAGTATGTTGAACTTTTGGGAGAAAGCCGCGTTAGAAACTCAGGCTGCCTGTTCAGGTTTTGTTTTGGAACTCACAAATCAGGCGTGCGTTGATAAGGATTTTGACAAAATGCTTTCCATCCACATCATGTTTGGTGCTGTTACTGGGAAGCAGGTCAGAGATCTGGGGGCCTGGGTGCAGGATGACCTTCAGCAGCTGCAGGGCCTCCGCCTGTGCTTCGCAGAAGAGGGATAGTAACAGGCCCGGAGGGAGGACGATTAGGATCCTGGCCTGCAGGCCCTGAGCTCTGAGGGGAAGATCCAGGAGGAGTGGCCGGAGAGAGGAGGCAGGGGGCCTCTCAGGCAGCGGGGAGGGAGAACTGCCTGTGGAACCCGGACGGTACCTTTCGTCCCTGGGCCTCCGTTTGTACGGGGGTGGGGGTGGGGGCTGGCGTAGGGTCCGCGCGAGCCCTTCCGGCTCCTCCCAGGGGCCCCACCCTGGCTCCTCTCCTGCGCAGGTTGCGTCTCGGTCTCCTCTGCAGGGCCCAGGACTCCTCTCTCCACGGAACTTGGCCCACAGTCCAAGGGAAACTTTCCAGGGCTGTGCCCTGACCTCCAGGGCAGCAAAGCGCTGTGGCACCCTTCACAGGCCGGTTTAGGGAAGGGCTGTGGGTAGGATAAATAGACTCAATACATATTTATTAATCTCTAGTAAGTGTCCCTGGTCTGTTAGCAAAGCCCATTGAGATAAACCTCTCTTGAACAACGATCATTAATTATTTTTCTTGCAGTAGGAAGAGGAGACAACCCAGGGCCTAGGTGAGAGCCTGGGGTGCAGGGTCAGACCGCGGTCCAGGCCTCTTTGAGCCCCGCCTGTGGAATGGGAACACACCAGGACCCACCTCGCAGGCTGCCGGGGAGACGCAGGGCGGTAATGCCTGTAGGAGGTGCCTGGCGGAGTGCCAGGTGCTCAGCGCACGGTAATGTTAGATGGTGGTTGTAAAAGTAACTGTCAGCAAACTGGAAGACCGAGCGCCTGGTGGGCACGGGACTAGGTGCCGGGGGCGAAGATGTGAAGACGTCCCTGAGGCGCCCAGCGAGCCCAGGTGGGGGCCGAGCGTCGAGCGCGGGGCCCGAGGTGAGGCCCGGGAAGGAGGGGGGCTCCGGCCGCGCCCCAGCCCCGGCTCCCGTTCCCGGGCGCGCGCCGCTCGCCGCACCTGACCTCCGGTGTTTGGAAGCGCCCTTCTCCACCTGGCCTCTTTTCCCGGGCTGCGGGCGGTGACTTCTGGGGAGGAGACGCCTGTCAGTCCCCGCCCCGGGGCGGGGTCGCCGGGCCTCCGGGGAGCACCGCCCGCCCCCACCCAACCCTCGGCACCTACGCGCCGAGCGGTGTCGGCGCCCGAGTGGCCCTTTAAAAGGCAGGTCCGGCCCGGCGGGGGCGGGCGGGGGGCGCTGACCGCCGCGCCAGGCCCGGCCCCTCCCCTCCCTCCGCCGTCCCTCCCCGGGTCCCCGCGTCGCTCGCGCGCTGGCTCGGGGCGCACGCTCCGCCCCCGCCAGTCGGCTCGGCGGTCGGTGCGCGGCGCGGGGCGCGAGCCGGGCCGGACGCGCGGCCGGGTCTGGGCTGGGGATCGGCGCCCCCACCGGGCGAGGCCTGAGCCGCGATGGCAGAGATGGGCAGCAAGGGGGTGACGGCGGGGAAGATCGCCAGCAATGTGCAGAAGAAGCTCACTCGCGCGCAGGAGAAGGTGAGCGAGCCCGAGCGCCGGCCTCCGCGCCGTTCGGGCCATCTGCCCCCCGGCCCGCCCCGGGGGTGGCCCTCGCCCCGGGCCGCGCGCTGTCACCTCCGGGCGGGGGCCTTCGGGGGTCCCCAGGCTGCGCCCGCGGCGCTCCGGGCGCCCTCTCCGGCCCGTGTCCTCTGTCCCTCCACCTCCGGCGGGGGCAGGAGGGGGCGCAGCTGTCCTCCACCCGCCGCTTGGTGTCTTCGACGCACGTCTGCGGAGCGGTGGCGGCCCACGCTCTGCTCGGGCGCGAGGTTCAGGCTGACCCCGCCCTGGAGGCCGAGGGCCGGGGGCCTGGAAGGCGAGGCGGGGTGGTGGTGGGCGGCCCCTGGTCCCCCCGGGCGGCTGAACTCCGGGAATCCCGGGGCTGTCCCTGGCTGCGGGTGCAGCGCTTTCGCCCCAAGGCCTCGGGGCTCTTCCTGCGTCGCGTCCCCTCCTCCCCGCCCGCCTCCGCGCCTTCTTTCCCCGCCGGCCGAAGGAGGGATCGGGTTTCCTTTCCCGAGTGGTGCCTGCGGCCTGGAACCTCCGGCCCGGCCCGGGGGAGCAGAGGATCGCGCACCCCGCGCGGAAGTGCCCTCACCCGAGCATGGGCTTCGCTCTTCCTCCGGGAAGCGGGTGGCGGCTCCGATCGGGGAGCCCACCGCCCAGGGGAGGCTGGCCCGGAGGAGGGACCGGGAGGGCGCCGCCGGAAACCCGAGCGCTCCGAGCGTAGAGCCTCTGGGAGCAGGCGGCGGAGCAGGAGCGCCGGCTCCCGGGGCGCCCTGACTGCAGGAAATGCGGGGCTGGGGCGGGGGTCTGCGCCCGCGTGCCTGCCATCCTAAGCCTCCTCTGGTTTATTGAATTGGATCACGCCAGCTGCTGACGCCACTTCCCTGCCGACTCCGACTCTGAAATCCGAGATTACAGAATATGCGCTCCTGTCGGGGTGGACCCCAGTGCCCCCCGGCGGCGCCTGCCCCCTCTCCCAACCAGCGGGCGGCCCAGTGGGAACCTGGGACAGGCCGACATCCCCCTGCCGGGCTTGTGGCTGTTTATAAACAATGACTTTTGCAGCTGAGACCTGCGGACTCCCTAAGGATGCATCCACGTGATGGGGGTTGGGTGGGGGCGGCTAGAGCCTCTCGCGCCTTCCATTGAGCCCTGCGGCCCATCCTTGCGGTCCCGGGCTAAGGAGGTGGGTGGGTGTGGGTGGAGGTAAGGCCCTCAGCCAAGCGCCAGATCTGGCTGCCCCAGCTGTCCCCGCTACCCCCCAGGGCAGGAGGCAGATTAGAGCCCCAGGGATAGCTGGCTGGGGGCTGGGAAGGCTTCAATAACTCAGGCTGGAGGGGGTGCGAATTCTGTGGCCCTTGCTTCCTCACGGTCCCATTCCTGCTTCCAGTGACTGGTAATCCATCTAGGCACAATCCCTTGTGCCGGCCCCTCTGGGTCTGGGCCTACTTCCTGCCCCTTAGGGGCTGAGGAAGATGAATGGAAGCACCAGGCTAGCGGGGACGAGTCCCCTGCCCCCACCCCCTTGTGGTCCTACTCCCTGGCTCCCCTGTGCCCGTTGTCTGTCTTTGCATCAGCATCCTCCAGGAAGTTCAGGCGCAGGAGGCATGGGCTGTGGCCCCTCCATGTGAGAGATGGTGTCATCACCGACTTCACTGAACTGCCACCCTTCCTCTTCAGCCCCTGTTCTGTGGCCGTGGACGGTTTGCGGGCAGCTGGTTGGCTGTGGACGTGGGCCTTAGTCAAGCGCTGGTCCCTTCTGAGCCTGGGCTGCGGGGACTGGAGCACCTTGGAGCAAGGACTGCTCTATGCCCTGGCCTGGCGCTGGCCGGGAGACCCTCCCCATCCGAAGTCAGAGCAGACTGGCATCCTGGCTGCCTGGGGAAGTAGCCTTCTCTGTTTCCCCTCCCTGCTGGCCCAGCTGCAAGGCCCAGGAAGCCGGAGACTCAACCCACATCATCCTCGCCCCTTTACCCTCTTGTGCTCAGTCTGTGTTGTGGGCCAGGCGTGCAGACCTGGCGGCCTCCTCGGCATTTCCTGGTGGTATTCAGGACTCTGGCTAATGGGAATTGTCCGTGGTCTCACGGGCTTGCCCACCTTACCTGGGTCAAATCAGTGAGGAATGGGGCAATTCCAGTTGCCCCGTTGCTGTAGGAGGGCATTTCCTGATGCGACAAGCAGCAGCTTGGTGGAGGGCCTAGATAATGTCTGCATAGGGAGCAGGGTCCCACCTCCCCTCTGTTCTTCTTCCCCAGTTTCCCCACATCCCCAGCCCAAATGTCACCAGGTCTCTGAGGGTGACACTGGGGTTAAGGAAAACTTGCTCTCTGGTGCCTGCGGAGCTCGCCCTCCTGTTCCCCCAGCTCAGTGCATCTCTCCATGGGCCCTGGCTTGGCATTTCCCAGTGACCCACTGCCTCCACCACGGGTCTGGGTGCGCTGGGGCTGGGGCAGATCTGTGTGGGACCCGGCATTCACCTGCTCCCGTACGTGCTGAGGGACTGTTTATGAACAAACGGGCATGTGGGGCCTGGCTAGGAAGCCCTGATGCAGGCCTGTAGGTGGGCTGGCCTGTGCCGTGTGCTCGCTGCCTCTCTTCAGCAAATCCTGCCTTGGGGACATGCTGTGGCCCCAGTCCTGGGCTGAGCCCAGGGTGCAGTGGGAGGCTGGGTGCACATGGTTCTGGCTGGCATGGAGCTTCCTGTTGTAAGGTCCTGTGGCCTCTGGCTCTGGTGTAAGGAGGGCATGAGAACATGTGGGAAGGGTCACAAGTGTCTGCCAGTGTGGCATCGTTGCTGCATGCCCCCAGCCCCGGCTATGCCCGGAGCGCCCAGGATACAGACTGTGTGCCTGGAGCTTGGGCTTGGGGCGCCATGAGGTCATCTTCCCGTTGCACTTGGCTTGTCGGACCCTCTATAAATGACTTTGTCCATTTTTGGGCCTCAGAAGGGTGGCCAGGCAGAGTCAGCTTAGGGTGGGGCCTGGGTCAGATGACAGAGGATTAGAGGTTGGCGGGCTGGACCCCTGGGGGAGGGGATTGTTGGGGAGAAGGGACAGCTGGGGCGGGGGTGGAAGCTGGCCTGCTCTCCCCTGAAGCCCACTGCCCTGGGGTCCTCTTGGAGCGCGAATGAGGGGGGCTGGCCTTGTGTCAGCGGAGCTGGGCCAAAGGCCAGCACAGGGGGGCCGTGGGCCTGCGGGAGTGGGGAGCCCCGGGGGGTGCTGCCAGCGGACAGCACAGTGCTGGCATAGTGGAGCGGATGCTCACTAGAGGGAAGGGGCATGGCTGTTATTTATAGAGCCCTGACACATGGCTGCGATGGCACCACGCTCGTCAGGGTGTCCAGGCCTCCACATGGGGCGGCCATGGCGGCCTCCACGACCAGTCCTAATCCTCACGGCAGCCTGAAAAGTAGCCACGTTACGCTGGGAGCAGGGAGCCCCCCTGGTCTGCTGGGGGGCCTCTGTGGCCCCCACCCCTGCCCCTTCCCAGGTCCCAGTTGTATGTTGCCCCCTGCACCCCTGCTCTCCATTTCCCGCCCCCACCTTGGCGTCCATCTCTCTGGCCCTGAGTGTCTGAGGACTTTCCTGCCATGGCTCGTCCTCCACCCCATGACTCCTTCCTCAGCCTCCCTGCCTCTGGGCCTCTTCGCTCTGACTGGGGCCTCTCCAGTCCCAGACCAGCTTCCTCCAGAGCCCAAGTCATCTGTGCAGATGGTCCACCTCCTGTGCTGGTGGAAGGCTCCTGAGCCTGGCACTGCCTCTGGGTGGGGGTCTATGGGCCAGGGGCCATTTGGCTAAGGAAGTGGGCCTGGGAGGCTGGAAGCCTGGCCTCCAGACCCCCTGAGCCCCTGAGTCCCCACTCAGAGGAGACTGCTGGCTCCCAGCTGGGCTCAAAGTGAGCCAAAGGCTCTTTTGCCCAGGGACTGGTGAGGAGGGTGAGTCCCCGGGGCCACATGGAGAAAGGTTCCAGGAGCAGCAGACGTGGGGCAGGGCATGGGGTATGAGCGAGGTCAGGCAAGGCGCCGTTCCCCTGGAGAAGGGGTGTGGGGGGTGGCCGGGAGCAGATCTTGGCCGGATTTGATTAAGTCCTGAGTGCTGGGCGGATCTGTGCATGCCATGGATTCTCAGGGAAACCGAGTCTGCTCTTTCCCCGCTTCTCCCCGGATGGCCCTGTCGGGGGCTGCCTTCTCACCGTCACTCTCCATCACCAACCAGGCCCTCGCCCTGGGACTGGGCCATGTCGACCCAGCTCGTCCCATACAAGCTGTGTGGCTCGAAAGATGTGCTTCTGCTCCTCCCTCCTGCCTTAGCCTAAGGCCAGGCCTCGCATGGTTCCTTTTCCATGAGGTTCTGGAATCCCCAGGCCCAACCGCACCATTAGACCTCTGTCTCCCTCACCGTAGGAGAGGCTCCAAGGACATGTCAGAGGACAGTGGGTGGGCACGGCGGCGGCGGGCCGGGGTTCCCTGTCTAACTGCACCTCAGGCAGGTTGCAGGACCTGCCAGAGCCTGGTGTCTCCATGCATAAATGGGACAACTGTGGTTCTCCACACCCCTGGTGTGGAGAGCGAAGCCTTGGATAAGTGCCCCACACCTAGAGGGTGCTCATTACAGGCTGGTTCTGTGGGGCAGAGTGGTACCATGAATCCACACTGGAGCCCACCCCTGGTCCCTGCAAGTGTCCATGGCAGGCCTCTCTAGACAGCTAATCCTGGCTGAGCCCTTGGTGATGAGGGCTTATGACGTCCCAGCCCAGGGTGGTGTGCGTGCATGCATGCCTGTGTGCGCGCCTGTGTCTGTGTGTGCAGGGGGCAGCCTGCAGTGGGGTGGGGAATCAGTTCTGGGTGAATCTTGACTCGCCTCCACATAGCCTGTGGTTCTGTGTAAGCTTCCCCAGCCTCCAGCCTCCACTTGGGCATCAGTACAGTGATGGTGGGGTTTGCTTATTCATTTACTTGTGGAACCTTATTGACTGAGCGCCCACTCTGTGCGCAGCATTGTTCTAGGGCCATGGGGGAGCTGGACAAAACCAGGTCCCACCCTCAGGGAGCCGTCCCCGCCAAGGAGACAGGAAAGAGGCGAGCATGATGGCCGGCAGTTCTAAGAGCAGCAGAGGGGGCGGTGGCCTTCAGCTGTCCCTCGGTGGGATCCGATGGATGGGCACAGCCTTTTCTGAGCATCCCGCGCACCAGCTTCGAGGACGCAGTTGTGGATGTGGACATGGCACTCACGTGGTGCGGGGCATTGGCCGGGCAGAGGCTTCTGGTCTCCCGGGGGTGGGCACCTGGGGCTGGCAGGTTCCAGGTCACCCTGCTCTGCTGTGGTTTTTGAAGGCTGCCTCTGTGGCACGTCTCCTTTTGGGATCAAAGTGCCAAGGAAAGGGCCCCAGTGCTAAAGCCGTTCAGCAGGGCACCAACAGGTCAGGCCGCTGTGGGCTGGGAGTTGGGGGCTTGCCTGTGAGGGGGGATGAGAGGAGGGGCTGCTGAGAGGCAAGAGGAATCCAGGGCTGGTGTAGGGCTCTCTAGAGAGCTTAGTTTGAGTCCCTCCCCAGGTTGCGTGGACCTCTGGGCCAGTTGAGTTTCCTGCCCTGAAACAGGTGTTGTGCAGACTAGAGGGACACAGCGAAGGGCAGCGCTCGTGGGTGCCTAGAGTTCCTGTTGTTATGTCGTGGAAGGGGCATGCCTCCTGACCTGGCTGGTGTCCGGGGCTCCCGGCCCCCCACAAAGGGGCCGCCTCCTCCTGAAGAGGCCCCCCGGCTCTGGACTGGGCAGCAAAGTTAGCTCAGTGCCAAGGGCTGACGGTCGGCTGAGGACTGAGAAGAGAGGCAGGCCCCTCCGGGCTCCAGAGAAGCCTCTGTCAAATATTAACTTCCTAGTACCTGCCTGGGGCCAGGTGCGCAGGAAAACCTCTCATCTTCACTGCAGCCAGGTGATGTCATTATGACTTCCATTCAGCAGATGAACAAACCGTGGCTCAGAGCCATGTGTGACTTGCCCATGGGCTGTCCTGCCCAGCTGTCCGGTCTGCCACTGCCCCGGTGGTGAGCAGGGAATGAGGCGCAGACCTCCAGGGAGGCCCTCCTGACCCCTCCTCCCCGGCAGGGTCCATCTACCAGGGGGCCATTTGACAGATTTTGGTCCCCAAGACCTTTTCCTTCTCCTATCAAATGAAATTTTGGGGCCCCTGTGTCCCCCTGAATCCCCACTTGGGGACTAGGCTTATGCTTGGGATGTGGCCTCTCTGCCGTCTGGGATGTGGGGTGGGCTTTGGGGTGAGGGGTCAAAAGCCGGGGATGGGGGTTCATGCCAGTGAAGACAAGTGAGGTAGTGGTGTATGTATACGAGAGGGTTTTCCTGGATTTAAAAGCTGTGTTCCGTGTATTCAGTAGAAAGGAACCCCCCTTTTTCTGAGATTGTATCTGCCTACTTTGGTTTATGTTGTTGCAGCAGTGTTTCTTTTATGAAATGATGTTAATACTGGCTGTTTCTTCATGCACTTGAAAGGAAATAGTCCTGCTGCTGACTGGGCCCCTGTGCCCGCACATGCAGGTGCTCACACACACACACACTGGGCCCCCGTGCCCGCACATGCAGGTGCTCACACACACACACACTGGGCCCCCGTGCCCGCGCCCGCACATGCAGGCGTGCACACACACATGCACTCATTCACACATGTACACACACACACACACACACACACACACACACACACACACACACACACTGGGGGAGACTTGTCCTGGTGTAGAATCTAAAGTCTAAGACTTACTGCTCTGGGGACCATGCCGCCCACTCCTGTGGAGTGGGGAGGTGGTTTTCCCAGCTCCAGGCTGACAGCAGGCCCTGGGCAGGCAGGGCGAGCCCCCTGGAGTGTCTGCTCCCCAAGGGTGGGTCCTGCGTGTTCCAGCAGTAGTAGCTTCCCCAGCCCAGCACGCGGTAGGCACTCAGCGCATGTTTTTTGCATGGATACATGGATTCTTCAGGCAGGGGGAGATGGGCTGAGCTGGCAGAGGCCAGGGAGGCCCTCTGGGTCCTGGAGTGTGGGGTGGGAGCGGTAGGCGAGCTGTGGCTGCAGGATTTCAGGCCTTCAGCATGCAGGGGAGGCAGCACGAGCGCTCAGGCCTTGGAGTCAGATGAGGGGGCACATCTCGCCCCATCACAGGCAGTTCTGAGGGACCTGGGCATCACAGCACTGCGCCTTGGCCCGGGGAAAACGCCTCAGCACTGCGCGGAGCTCGCCTGAGCCAGGGGCTGCAGACCCCGGGCTTCCCAGGAGGGGCTGGGGCTCTGCTGAGGAGCCCTGCCTGCTGGAGGTGCCAGGTGCCAGCAGGGCTGGCCTGGCTGCCCGGCGGGGGTCCTCCAACCCGAGGAAGCTTCCTGGTGACAGAGGTGCTGGGGCCTGCTGCCCTGCGGGCCTGGGCGATCTGCTGGGCCTGAGACCAGTGAGCTGCGGCCCTCAGAGCTGCCTCTGCTGTCTTTGCTGGACCTCCTCCCCCTGCTTCCTGGACTTCACCTCCACCCCCAGGCCCTGAGCCCAGAGCCCAGGGCCACAGCACACTGCACCCAGGGTGGGCGTCGGAGCCTGGGGGTGGGCAGCAGCCTCGGGGCACTGACAACTGGCCATGGTGCCCTGGGAAGCGGGCGTCATGTTCCCTATTCCTCAGGGTGATGGTCAGGGTGCCCCCCACTGCCTGGGCCCCGGGGAAGGGCAGGGGGCTGCAGACGTCTCCACCTCGGCAGTGGGGGGCCGCAGCGCCTAGGGCTGGGCGCCATGGCTGGGAGTGGGTGGATGGCCGCCAGCAGCCTCCATGGGCCTTGGGGAGGGACTCCCCACAGCAGCCACAGCTGGGCCCCTGCAGGCACCCATCCTGGAGCCCTCAGGGCATTTCCAGGGATGTCTTGCTGGCCCCTCATTTTCCTGCCTCAGCTTACATGGAACTGGCCCCCAGAGGCCGCGATGACCTTGTTCATCCCCGCGGTCATTCTCTTGTTGACGGTGTGTCCGCAGTGTGCGTGGGGCAGAGGTGCTGAGGGCGCTGGGGGAGAGGGGCCCCTGCCCTCAAGGAGCTCCCGGCACGCACACTGCACCGAGGTTGAGGCAAGGGCTTCCTGCCAGCTTGGGAAGCCAGGGAAGGCTCCTCAGAGGAGATGGCACCTGAGCTGGGCCGGAAGGTCAAAGGAGACGGGCGGTGAGGCGGGGAGGGATGTTTCTGGAAGCCTGTTGGGGTGGCTGGAATGCGTATGAATGAGGGTTGGGTGGGATGAGGCCTGAGTCTGAAAAGACAGTGAGGAAGAGCAGGCCTTGGAGGGCAGGGGGGCCCCTGTGCCCGGCCCGCTCACCTCTCCCCTCTGGTGCTGCCTGGACCATTTGTCCGTCTCCCAGCCTGGGCTCAGCTGAGGACCCAGTGCCTCACCGTCCTGGGCCGAGGGGGTTCCCGGCTTTCTGAGGACCGGGGGGGATATGGGGGGTGAGTCCTGAGACCCTGCAGGAATGACCGTGGCCAGGTCAGGAGCCACCGTGCCCAGGAAGGACAGGGCCTGGGGCAGCTGCCATCCTGGAACCCACCTCGCCAGGGCTGGGGTCACAGGCTAAGCGACGTCTGTACTGCCCCCTTCACATGTGTGTCTGCTTCTTTGTTATGGGGCCTCAAGGTGACACTGCGGTGGGTGGGTCTGTTCCTGTGTGCTCTGCCCTTCTAGGCCAGGCCCTTGGCACCATGGTCATTTGGGGTCTCCTGGCTCCTAGGGCAGAGTTGGGGGGTCCTCAGAGGAGGATGGCTCCCTCCAGCCAGTGGGGAGCCTGCTGGGTGGGGTGTGGGCCCCGGTAACGGTCCCAGCAGCTGGGGGTGGTGGGGGCAGCAGCTGGCTGGCGAGGGGCGGGGGCTTCCACTCAGGTCCAGGGTGAGAGGAGCTCTGCAGAGGCTGTGGGGCTGGGAGGGGGGATGGGGCACTGCGAACCTTTGCCAGCTCGGACCTTTTTCCAACAGCTGCTGCTACTTTCTTTGGACCCTTTGCTCAGCTTGGCCTCTCCCCAGGACTGTGGCCAACATGCCTGAGCCTGGGCATGCCTGGGCCCACCACTGGGCCTGGGCACAGACCTGGTGCAGGGAGGCCCGAGGGCCTCCGAGGGACCCAGGGCCCCTCCCTTCACACCCTCCACCACGGCTCCCCTCTCTCTGCTCCGAGCTGGATCGGCCCCCTCAGGACTGCCTCTCCGGCCCACGGTGACTGTATCAGAGCAGGTCTGGGTGATGGCCTGGGGCCAGGCGGCTGTCAGGGGAAGGGGGTACCTGGAGCTGGGGCAGAGAAGGAGAAAGTGAGGAGGTGAGTGTGGGGGAGGACACGCTGGCAGAGGCAGGGGTGGGGTGGCCTAGGAGCACTGTGTCCCCTGGGGTCCTGGGCCAGCTGTGCCTTCTCTGAGCCCTCAGTGCCCTTTCTGCAGTGGGAACCAGAGTTCCTGCCCCCGGGACCATGCAGGGGGCCCACGAGGAGGTCCGCATGGTCAGTGCCTGGCCTGACCCCGTTCCTGCCCACCGAGTGCTCTCAGGTGGACCACTGTGACTTTTGTGTTGTGCTGAGGGACTCTTGTAATGGACTTTTTTCTCCTATTTCCTCTATAGGCTGAAAAAGCTAAATTAGGAGGTGGTGGTACCTCTTCCCGAGGAGGGTGGTCAGAGCCCCCCTCAGCCGGAGCCGGACGAACAGGGTGGAGGAGGTGAAGTGTTCCGAGTGGGGTGGGCTGAGGGTCAGAGGAGGGCCTGAGCTGGGGGCAGAGGTGAGGGGTCTCCCGCCATTCATGCATTCATCCAGGGAGCCGATGTGTAGAGGAGAGGACGCCCTGAGAGGCCTGGGCTGAATCTCGGCTTGGCCGGGGCCTCAGTGGGCCCAGGTGGGGATGGGGAGCATGGGGCTCCCTCCCAGTCAGCGGAGTGAGCTTCTGGCTTTGGGACAGAGGCAGGCGGAGCTCCCCCTGGGCCCCGCTGGGCCCACATGCTGCAGAGGACAGGCTCAGCCTCTCTGTGCGTTCTGTAACTTACACAGAGCCCTCACTCTCGCCGTTTTTCATTGTTTCTCGCAGTGACCTGTGAGGTGGGCAGGCCTGGACTGCGGTTCCTTGTGGCTGAGGAAAGCGCAGAGGCTCAGGGAAGCCAGGGGGCCCTTCCCAGGGGTGCCATCTCCATCTGTGAATCCAGGGGGAGGGGTGCTGGGAAGCCAGATACAGCCAGATACAGCTGCAGGGTGTCTCCAGATCAGAGGCAGTGTGTGGAGGCTGCCTTTGTGGGTGCCCACCTGGCCCGCGCCCGTGTCCCTGTGTGTGTGTGTGTGTGTGGGCGTGCTGGCATACCTTGGCAGAGGGTGAGCGTGCACAGCTGGCCCGTCATAGTGCCAGGACCTCTGCGTGGCCCCAGCACCCCCAGCTCTGGAACAGGTTCCCTGCAGTGATCAAGGGGCCCCAGAAGGTCAGATTTGGACAGAGGGGGCTCCATGCTTCACTCCCTAGGGAGCCTCAGGGCGGGTGGAGAACTGGGCTCAGATACCACAACTCCCACCTCCCATGAAGAAAGATTGGGGGGTGTCCAGGGACAGGGGAGGCCTCAGAGCGAGCCAATGGCCAGGAATGGGAGCTGAGTAATGATCCAGACTGAGATGCAGAATCCGCAGTTAATTGGATGCATTTGCTGAACCTGGGACAGGATCCAAATATTGCTGTTTTTCTGGAATATAAACTAAGCCAAGAGTTTATTTGTGTCCCCTCCCCATGCGCTCAAGGACTCAGTGGAGCAGGCTGTCCCAGAGGCAGGGCTGGCTGAGCCGCGGTGTCACCACCTCCCCCACGGTGACTGGCCTGGCCCCCCTAGCTGGGCGGACTGTGGGTCTGGACGAGACACCTGGGGGGCCCTGGGTTCTTGTTGCCGGCACTGGGTCTGGTGGGCCTGCGGGGGCCCCGGCCTGGCCTGGGCCTGTGGAGCTGCCCGGAGGGTGGTGCAGGGCTGCGGGCCTGGCTGGGGGAGCTGGGTCAGCAGCAAGGCAGACCCAATGCCTGCATCCCCACTTTGTGCCACTGCACTTGCAGGTCACCCCGTCTGCTATGCCCACTGAGAGACCAAGGGAGGCTGTCCCCACATCTGTAGCCAGCACAGGGCTGCCCCTGAGCGACGCTGGGAGAGACAGGCCTCCGGGCACAGCCTGAGACCCCGATTCTAGCGCCCCTCTCCCCCCACCCCACCTAGGCCCCGCCAGTCCCTTAGCCCTTCTCGCTTTGGCTTGCTCCTCCGTGGGTGGGTTAACTGCCCTCCCTGCTAGATTCTGGGTCCTCGGTGGGGGAGGCTGGTTCCGCTGAGGGTCTGTGATGCTGGCACCTGCACACAGTAGGCATCTAGTGCTAAGCGCGTCGGGGTGTGAGGTCCCAGGACACAGGGGATGGGAGAGGTTTCACAAAGCACCTTACGTAGTGTGGCAGGTGGAAGCCCGTTCAAACGCCGGCTCTGCTCCTCTTGAGCCCTTGACCTTGGGCAAGGTACCACCTCAGCCTCCCCTTCCTTCTTGTGAGGATTCAGTGGGACAGTGGTGTCACCATTTCACACCCGAGGACACTGCTGGGTGGGTGCCAGCTTGCGGACCCCGCTGTCCTCTGGGGTGGGGGTGGCTGAGGTGCCCAGGCCCTGGGTGTGTGTCCAGGCCGAGTGTGGCCCGCAGCAGAGGAGTGGTCCAGGCCCCGCTTGGGATCCAGATGGTGGGGCCTGAGGCCTCAGGGGAGGAAGGATCGGGGGTGGGGTGGGGGACTCTGCCCACAGAGGGCCATGTGGGGATGGAGCAGGTGACAGCAGGGGCCCCTCCGCTTCCCACCTCTTCAGCCCGCCCAGCCTGACCCCCTGTCCCCGCAGGCAGCAGGACTGTGTCCGGCTCTCAGGTGGTCCGGACGTGTCTGGAGCTGTAGCGCCACATGGCCAGAGTCACATCCAGGACCTGGGTCGGCGTCCACCCCGGGCCTCACCCGCTTCTGCTCTCACCTGTGTGCCTTGGCACATTCCTGTAATTTTGTCTCTTTGTAACAAAGGGATTGGTAACTGGCTGTTCAATTTTCACTTTCTGGTAAAGAGGCCCCAGGAGGAAGGGGATAGGTGGGCATGAGTGCCCCTGGCAGGCGTGGAGGGAATGCTGCTGTTTGCTGTGATTTCTGGGGGCCTCTGCCCTCCCCTGTGTTGGGGGGGGATCTCCTGACCTCACTGCTTCCGCCCTTCTCCTGGGACCTTTGGAGGAAGCCTGGGCAGGCTGAGCAGAGGCATGTGGGCCAGAACTCTGGGGTCCCTCCTTAGCGGGGAGCCTGAGATGAATGGGCCTCTCTGCTAAACTGTCCGAACCGCTCTCCTCCCATTGTAGAGGTGGGACCCTGAGCCCTCTGGCCTCCCCTGCACCCCTGGGATGGACCTGGGAGGCCCTGGCTTCTGCCCACTCTGCACTGACCTCCTGTGCTTACTGGGGTAGGGGGAATGGGGCCTGTCAGTGTCCCCCCTCCCCACCCCCCAGCACTGGGACAGCAGAGCACGGGGCCTGGAACAGCCCTGCCTGTCTCCCGAGGGCTCACTCCATCTGCCAGGGCCGGGGGCAGCTCTGTGGCCCTCCCTCCCATGCCCAGCCTTCACCCTGACTGGACCTGATGGTCACACGCCCCTTCCCCTCCCAGCCCCTCCCAGCTCTCCTCTCGCCTCAGTGCTAGTGAAGCTCTGGAGCCAGTCCTGGGCTGGGCAGGGCCGCCCTGCTCTTCCGTGGGGCCCCGAACCAGTGAGTGCCGGGACCCCTGATTCCCCACCTGCCAAGTGCGGGGGCCCTCAGGTGCCCTCCCCGGGGCCAGGAATGCATGGACAGTCCAGTGCCAAGGTGGGGATGCCACTAGCACAGCTCCGGCAGATGAGGGCCTGGGAGTCCCCACAGGGGCGGGTGGGGGTGGCCTTCCCTGCTGCTGAGGGGGGGGCATCTCTGCTTGGGTGGCAGGACTGGATGGGAGCTGTTTAAGGGGATGCCCTTGGATAACACAAATAACAGCAATAACTAAAGTAACAGTAGTGTACTTGAAAAAGAAAACACATATCTTTCTTCCTTTTGGTACTATTTAATAGTTCCAATTTCACAGATGTAGACACGGAGAGTTCTGATGGGTACAATAAATGAACAACCTGTTTGCACAGTCAGGTGGAGCTTCTCAGATAGGTACAGACATGTGCAAAGGGCATCCAAGGGACATGGCATCCAGTGTGTGCCTGTGCCTGGGGTGGAGTCAGGGAAGACTGCCTGGAGGAGGAGAGGGCTTGGTATCAGTAGGGAAGCAGGGTTCCCTGAGGGAGGCTGTCGGGAGGCATGGGGAGCGGCACACCAGGGCCTTCTCTCTCTCCTCTCCGAGCACCGGCTCGGAGCTCAGCTGAGGTGGGCTGGACCCATCAGCTCCACACAGGCGGTTTCCCCACCAGGCTCAGGAGGCAGCTGATGAGGGGCTTGTGCGCTGGAGGGGTGGATCCCACCTCTGTCACCATCGGCGTCCCAGAGCCTGGGCTGAGAATAGCACCCACACTTAAGTGGAGGGAACGGGCAGCTCTGGGGTGACTGTGCTGACATCTCTGAACAGGTGGTGTGGAGGGCTGGGCCTGTGCTGTGCAGGGCCCAGCCTGCATGACAGAAGGGGCCAGCCAGTGGCCTGTGTCATGGACACCCGGGCCTGGCCCTGGCCTCGTGTCCCCGCTGACCCTCCATGGAGAGGCTGTGCCTGGGGCCTGGCGCTGGGATATCGAGGCTCGTGGGGGCTTTTGCCACTAAGAGGCCAGTACTTCCAGCTGCTGTTTGGGTCCCACGGGTCTTTACCATTTTACCCTTTTATTGGAAGGGTCAGAGTGAGGCGGGGGGCTTGTGGGGTCCCTGCAGGGCTGCGGAGCCAGGACACTGCTGAGGGGAGGTCGGGCCAGGAGAGGAGGTGGGTGGGGCGGGGTTTGCTGTCTGTGAGGAATTTCGAGTGTGAGCGGAATGAATCATGGGGGGCAAGCGTGCAGGGCAGTGCCAAGAAAGGCACCTGTGGGCTGGGTCGGAGGGTGGAGTCTCGGCTTCCGGCTTGGGTGGGAGGAAGCCCGTGTTGGGATGGGGGAAGAACAGTGGGGAACTCGGCCACGGCTCTGTGCTGGGCCCTCACCCACACACCCTTCACCCTAAGCCCTCCCTGTGGGAGCTCTGGGCTCCCTCTCCCTGGGGAGGCTGAGGCCCGAAAGGTGAAGCTCCCTACCAGGGCTGCTCAGCCTGCCGGCCTGCCGCACCCTGCCGGGGCCTCTCGCACCAGAGGG